CCACCACACACTCCAGACCAGACAGGAGCAGGAGAGCCAGCCTTTGGGGGCTGTTCCCCGCTTTCACTCAGGAAGGTCTTACACAAACATTTATGAAACACAAAGGCAGAAGTAGTAGTCCCTGCACTATTGTTTTAAGGTGTACAAAATTCTCAGACAGAAGCTGTCCAGAATTAATATCCTAAAATACAGCCTTGTTCACAGTGATAAATAAATTAAAAAAAAAAAAAAAGTAGATCCATCTGAGACAGACAAACAGCATGAAAACCTCATTGTAAAGAAGGGACAGAGGAAAAGCGAGGTGAGGTGGGGAAAAGATTAACAGGGAGTTACTGATCACTCTCCATAACTGGGAGGCATCAAACAAACCTGGCGGGCAGCATGTTGAAACAGTCTGAAACACTACAGATAGGCCTAGCAACACCATTACTCCCAGTGCCACACATCTGCAAGCACAGGAAAGCTGTCCTTTCCCTGGCATAAACCCAACCAAACACTAATGACTGAGAACGGGCAGACAGCACCAAAGCTCAGATCCATTCAGCCCAATGACGTGAGCCAGCAACAGCTCAAACCACATGCTGAGTGAAAACCGCTGTTGCGGCACGTGTTTCTCACGACACCCTTCCAAGCTCCCACAAGCTGCAGGGTAGCTGTGACCCTCACAGGCACAGCTGGTAGCTTTGGGTTTAATAGGTCTCTACTATATCCTGGCTTTGCTGCCTTTACGGGCTGAGCTGGTATTCAGTCTGGCAGGCACTGGTTGTGAGGTTGTGATGAAGACTGATCAGAAAAACAGATTCTTTCGCGACTTTGTCCCCTGTTAGTTTGTAGGTCATCCCTCCCTCCCTATATCCCTCCAAGGTCAGGTCCATTCTTCATTCACACTGTGTTCTCTATTTATCTTGCATGCATTTTCTCTCACCCTTTCTAAATCAATGCAAACTTCTCCTTTTATTGCAGATGCTGTTCTAATGTAGTGAAATGACTACATCCTTCATTTACCAGCAAACCATCAAGCCATATTTGCTTTGGTATTTCTTTTTCAGTAAATGCCTCCAGGTGCTTAACGACTTTTGTTTTCATCCAAATATTCATGCAAAACTTTTCTGTGCTTATTCTCATGTGTTTCTCTATAACATACACTGTTCATTTTTCCTCTGAAAAAATGCAGAACCACTTTGTAAGCAGAGAATCTTTTATAACATACAACACACTCTGTATTCCTCAGCTTCAATTTCTTGAAACTCATTTTTCCTCAGTCAATTTGGATGCTGATGTCAGCTCCCCACTGAACAAGAAGCTTTATAAAAAAATGAATTGCCTTCTCTACATTCTAGCTACCTGTTTTATGAAATTATAAAAAAGCAAGGCTGGGATACAGATTTCTAGCTTTCCTGAATAACTTTATTTAATAATAAACATTCTTGCAATGAGGGCCTTCAGGATAATGCACCTCAGGGAGTAACACAACAGACTTCCTAAGTCACGTGTGGCAGAGGTCAGTAGCAAGGGAAAATTAGATGCCTGTTTTATGCTCTGTGACAAGTGAGTTGCCTGTTTTGTGATACATTTTTACCAACAAAAACAAATTTAAGACTTGTTGGCAGCTTTGTCAGAGAAGGTTCTGCCTACCCACGTTAATGAAGAAAGGCAGGAAGGCTGAGTAAAAGATCTTTAATTAATACTGAAACACAGAGTGAAATGTAGGTCACCTTTAATAACCATGTTAGAGTAACAGCTGTGTGTTTCAGTCGTGTAGAATAGTTTTGTCAGTCAAGGGTTTCTTCCCGGATACAATTTGACTTACAAAGAAATACTGAGTTAAGGGGAAACAAGAACTAGAAAGCTGTAACTGAATGCAACTAATAACCAAGGAAAGGAATTTGGAAATGTCCCAAGTGGAACCGAGGAAGGCACAGCATTTTAATACTATCATATAAATATTATGAATGGACTGGAGTCTATAGGGGGAAATGTCTTTTAGTGGAATGAGTATTTACAGTGCTAGATAGAAACATTTGAATGAAAAATACACCATCTCAAGTAATATCCCTTAGAATTCTATGTAATAGCAGCCCAGCCATGTAGTCCGTCAGTACCCCATATTCCATAGGAGGAATCTCATCTCTAGTAAGAGTTCAATCTCTTAAAGATAACGAGGATCAGATCATAGCATTAGAGTCCAGAAAGAAGTGTTCAGGCAGCAGCACTACATAGCCACCTTTTATACAAAGGGTCTGACTAAATGCCAACCATGGGGGACAAATCCCGAGGGAAAAAATCCCAACAGTACTGCTGTGAGAGCAAGAGATGTGGGTCGCAGCATATAGAGGGAGTTTACTTGACCCCATTGTTATAACATTACAGCAAAAAAGTATTATTCTGCCCATCATATCAAACCAAAAGACAGTCGTCATTCCACGTGTAGCTGGAACCAGACCTCTGGATGGATTTTATATTGAATAAGCCCAGAGCAGCCTCAGACAAACTGAATTTCTGAGCAGTATGACAGACTTCTGCATAAAGCAGAATGGTTCTCTTGGTCAAAGAAATTTGACAGGAGTTTTCAGGGGAAACACTGTGGCAGCTTCTTCCACCTTTCCAGAAACCTTTTTCTATGTGACTATATCCTTTACTCTATGTCAGAATATGTAATACTTTGCCCTTGGCTCTAAGGTTAATTGCTCTTTTTTACCAGTACTTTTACAAAATGAAAACATCATTTTACCTGTAGGAAAACCCGTATGCAAGTGATGTCACTTGCTAAAACTTATTCTGATAGAACTACTAAAATTCCTTAATATATATATTCCATAAAAATGAAATCTTCACAGGATTGATTCCCACAGAAAGTGACCAATAAATGTTTTCATGAGGGTTACACTCTGAAGTTCTGCAGAACTACTCCCACCTGAAGTGCCTGGGAATGGCAAAGGATACGTGCAGGATTAGATCTGCAATGTAAGAGGTTTATCTACAGACAAAGATTCAAGTAAATACTGCCTAAAATGCAAGAAGTCTGTCAGATCTAAATGATTAAACAGTGTGCTATGAGGTTTATGTGGTGTTCTATGGATCTAAAAGGCTTATAACCTCTAGGTTATAAAAATTTCTCAAAATGTTACATGCATCTTGACTTGCTATCTCATTGTCTAACTTAAAGGCTCTCCAAGTCTTCCTTCACTTTCTGCTCTCCTAAGGAGATCTTCTAAGTTGCTTTTACTACAAGTTACAAGAGCTAGGTTTGTGGACTGGAGTAAGCAAAATGGAGACAGGACTGGGATACTCGATGCTTTTATAACCACACTAAAGATGAACATTTTCACTTGCTTTCTCGCACTGAGGTGCACTGCTGTCAGGAGAGTGCCGGAAAACACCAACCTCACTCTTCCAGCAGATACTGCTCTCTGTGTGACTCTGGCATGGAGCCACAAAGATCATCTGATTTCTGCTAGCATTTTCAACACTACAAAATAAAATTTTATAACTCTCCTAGCCCAACCCTAATTTGTAAGCAAGTCTAAACCAATTTCATCCTCTGTTTCTTATTATTGAAGCATTCCAGCCACTCCTGAAAATTTGTACTCCATTTGACAGAATTGGAAACACGGACTAAACATTGAATATGCTTAGTATGGCAAACACCAGTTATATTTTCAGGATAATTTTAACCAACTTTCATGTTTCCATATACAGGAAACGAACACAACCAATACATTCAGAACTTTGTCAGAAAGTGAGCAAGCAGGTAATGGGCATTCAGAACAGCTGGGACAAGAGTTTGTATTTCCTGTAAACATTTTTACATACTTTAGATACATTCTCAACAATATTAATTTTAAAATGTTTATTCTTTGCATTTACTGAACTGTTTTTTTCATTTCTAATATAACTTTTCCATGGAAATGCACAATCAAGCATAAGCTACCTCTAACTGTTATGGCAAGACAGCAATCCAAACAAATTTGAGGTGAATCTTAAATTACAAAAGCAACTGATAAAGTGACTTAGAGGAGTGGTGGTGTAGAACAGATCACCAGCACACAATATAGCACATCATCTTCATGGGCCATAACTGTCACATTCCTGGCGTATCATAGTGGGCCAGGCTACATATGAGCAATTCAACTTATGCTTTATCCTAGTGAATTTTGCTATGTAGCTGTACTTCTGCAGCAACGAGAAGCTGAATGAGTCCAGTGATTATACAAATATTTGAATCTATATTATGTAGACTGTAAAAGCTGGTTGAATGTCAGTAACCTCTGAATGACAAGCACCTAAACAGGAAGAGAACTGATCTGCATTCCCTATGACTAACCAAAAGCAACTTGGTTTAATGTAACAGTATTTCAGGACCACAGTAGTATGAAGCCATGGACTCAAAAATAGATGATTACAATTCCTAAAGGTAGTAAAGACAAACAAGCCTGTAAAACCAGCATCTGATTTCACAACATAAAAAAGTCACACAAGTGTTAAAGAATTGGGATTAACAAAATGTGGGAGACAAGAAATAGAAAGTAAAATCAGCAGGGACAATGCGTTCTGATGTCATACTTTACTTCATTACAAATGCTTCCTGCCAAGCTAACAAGAAATCCCTTCATCTCTTGGGGAATTCACCAACTAAAACCAAAACAATTCCATTTAAAAAAAAAAAAAAAAAAAAAAAGACGGTGGACAGTGCATTTCCTTTTCCTGACAACAGAACTGTAATTCCAGATTTGTGAGATGTAAATACAATCTGAACATAATACACCAAGACCTTCATCTTGCTTTGGGGTAGGGCAACTTCAAACAGTATCTTAATTTACACTAACGAATGGTTTGAGCCCTTAGATCAAAAGAACTAAACTAAGAGGACAAGTACAATATACCTAATAACTGCTCAGAACACAGTTTTCAAAACACGTGCCTTTCTTCCACACAGGAGGCTGACATGGGCTAAAAATAGAGAGACATGGAAAAGAATGGTGCGTTACATTGGCACTTACATTTCCCAAATGTCCTCTGGTAGGTTAGCTGGAATTTCTGTCAAGCTCCTTCCTCGACAATCCACTACATTGTTGCTGCAGGTGCAGGCAGATGGGCAAGTGATGGAACTGGCACTGCATGATGGAGGTTCAGACTGGGAACCTGAGACATAAAGAAAACATTAAATGTTAGTTTTGAAAAATGATCGGCTGAGATTTTAACAACAAAATACATCAGCTGCAGATCCTTTTACTATATTAAGTAATGATTTTACTATATTAAGTAATAATTTATTTGGATTCAGTGAATATAATGTGCTACAAATCAACTGCAGAGAAAATGTGTAAAAGATGACCGTGTTCTTACTCCTTCTCAGTCTCCACTCCAGCAATCTCTTTCCTTCATGAACACTTCTTTGGTCCCCTCCATGATCAGCCATATCAATTTATTCAAAGATTTTAAAAATAAGCCTTGAGATCAAGCAGTATTTCCAAAAGTTATCTTTGCCTAGAAGTTTCCATTACACAAACACTCCTTGAGTATTTCTACGTACTGAGAGAAGACTGTCATCAAAGATGACTTATGTTTTTGAAGTGAGGTAACCTGTTATGGCATAAAGACTGGAAATATAAACCTAGTTTTTTCAAGATTAGACAATACAGTTACTGGAAAAACAAAAAGAATTTAGAAAAATATGAGTTCAAACCTTGAAATCCTTGCTTAATCTAATAATTCCACTGAAAGACAAGAAGCTACTTACAGAACAAAGCTTTAGCATGAGGATGTTGCTCTATATACATTCTAGTCAATCCATGAGATTCAGGCTTAATTAAGTATCATTAAGGTTCTTTGAAACTGTAGCAATTACGTCAATTTTACTCAAATGGTTATGATTTTTACATTTAAAATTTTGATATATATATATACACACACAGACACAGATAAAACTGTTTTGCTACACTAATTGAGGTTATCAAGATGTAGCAGTTATTGACTTATTTATGGTGAGTCATATTTCCAAAATACATGTAGCACAAGAAACCTCAAGTATCTTTTTGACCAGACACAGAGGGCTGAATGTGAAGGCTCGTGTTGGTAAGAAGTGACAAAATCACAATAGAAAAAGGAAAAAATTGTATTTTCCTAGATTACAGTAGATTATAATCACAAAAAATATTTGGTCTTTTGGTTGGAAAAATTAAATCATCATCATTGCCAAATCACAAATACATGTGAAAACATGGAAAACTATACACAAAGCTGTACATTCTTGGGGTTTGTCTTGGAAAAGACACATGATCAATACTTTCATAAATCATAACTGCAGGTGACAAAAAGTAAAAAAATAGTTTTTTGCATCAGTTTGCAATCCAATATCATCATGACAATTAAAATTTTATAACAATGCGACATTGTCATAAATTTTCTCTCTTGATTTATGCCTACATACCCTCTGGTTTAGCCCTGAACTATGCACAAAGTCAACTCGTATAGCAAGCCTACGTATGTTCCTAGGTTTTCAAACACATGTAAATGGCAATGAAAAGCTAACATCAGAAAGGCATTCAGTGGCACCTCTAAGTATCATTATTTTGAAAAGCAGATACAGTTTGAAAAGATGTCAGCTGAAAACTTCTACAGGCTGACTCTACACTTCCAGAGGGAGCCCTCCTGGAAAGCAAAAGACAATTACTGCAAAATCATGCCTTCCATTAGAAAGGTATTAAATTCTGATGTGAACTAATTTCTGTTTGTCTGAATTTACCTTAGTTCAAGCAAGCTGTCAAACCCTGTAAATATTATTTTGTAGCCAGGGATGACAGAACTGCATTATTTTACAGTATACTGCCAAGTTTCAGGATAAGATCAGCATTTCAACTGTGTATAAAATGTTGCCAAATTAAAGTATTGGGTTGGAAATTTTTTTTATTGGATCATCAGCTGACTGTCAGGACAGCAGGAGAAAAATGTGGGTTTCATAGCACTGTATGTGTTTTAAAGATAGCTTTCATCGATGTTAATCAGAGGTATGAGTGACTGTATTTTGGCAGACCAGACCTCAGAACTCCAGTTCAGCCATCCAGAAATTAGATTTTCAGAGGTAAGGACCATCCTGAAATAAATGGATCTCACAGGACATTTGTGGCATGGGTAGGAGTCAAATTCATTCTTTATGCGAGTGGGCAGCTGCTTTCATCATGACGTGATCCTAATGATCCTTTCTCTTTGCTAAAACATCTCGTCTCATTTATAGTCCACTTTCCAACCTCTGTGACAGCTGCAGATAAGGAGTTTACCAGCAACAGTCTTTTATCTCAACACAGAGCTGGTTTCAGTACTAGAGCAGCTTCACCCTATGGAACCAACTGTGCAAAAAATCCACCAAAAAAAAAATAATTTAATAATGTAATTAAAATCTAAATCCTAACACATATGGCCTAAAAAAATCAAATTCATATTTATCAGGCAACCTGAACTTTGAGTTGTTCCACTTTCAAAATCTTATTAGACATTGTCTTAACAAAGTCTACATATGTGACCATGTGCTAATAAGTTGTAGCTATTTGAACTAAACAAACAAAAAAACCCTTCACTAATTAAATATGCATAACAGGCAGGACAAGCAGCTCTCTTGAGTCTGTCTTCTGGCTATAGAAATGCAGGGCAGACATATCATCATTGTGAATTAATAGAATTCCTTCAAAATTAATGGCGCTCTGCCGCATATCACCAACAGCACTGCCAGCTCAGCCTTCCACGGACTCTAAGGTTTCTGTAAGATTTTAACTGTGACTGCTTCCAAAAGTAGCTTATACTGCTCCAAGATGCACACAGGCCTCTGTTATCTTTGCATAAGAACAAGAGGATTGTTCTTACAACCTGATCACATACGTTTTACATTTTCTTTGTCTGCCTACATTGTGGTGCAATGCCCAAAACAAAACGAAGAATGAAGGAAGTGCAAACAAGCTATTGCAAGCTTTTAGGGATAGGGAGAAATTATCAAACTGGGAAGAAACACCTCAGAGCAATCCTTGCTCTCTGGGAGGCAAAAAGAAAGTTGGCAGCAAGGTCAAATCTTCCCCACACTCTTTATCATCACAGATCTGACGTGCTTTCTGAAGAGGCTTTGTGGCGAGGGGAAAACACAGTGTGCACAGTTATAACACTACAAGGTATTCCTGTGGGTTAAAGAGGCAGTAATACGCTCCCTTTGCATTAGGGCACAAGATCAAAAAACTTGACATATTGCCAGTTGGAGTTTTAAGAGTCTGTTCCTGACTCTACTGAATCTAAATCAACAGTAGAAGATTCAGTGGAACTCAGCTTGTTATCTCCACATTTTGTGTGACGCAGCATTGCAGAGTGCTCTACACTAAAGGAATGGTTTGAAAGTAGGTTGTCATGTAAAGTACTCTGAAAAGGGACAGAAAAGCCAGAAACACCAGTCTTCCTTGCACAAAAAAGAAGGTAGCAACAGTAACAAGGTGATAATTAGTATCATACTACAGTTAAATATCATGGAACTTTCCAGCAACTTTTTGAATGGAAAGGCCAAAAGGTAAGAAAGAACATTATTTGTGCTGCCCACTAAGCCTTTTGGATCCTCTCCAAACAAACACCTGATATACAGTTGACCGAAGCCAATAGGAGTCCTTTTATTTACCCTGAATTTGGACCAAAAAGCATTTACCTGTGATTTTCCACTACAAAAGAGGAACTTTTATGCAAACAGAATTTTGATTTATGGGGCTAGTGAGTAAAACAAATAACCAATTAGTTTACCAGGGAAGTACATGATGTCAAAATAGAGAGAGAAAGCAATTTAATGTCCTTATTCTTAGCACAGATGCAACCGAAATAATAGGATGAAAAAATAACATCTCACACTGAAAGAAAGTAAAGTAAAAAGTAAAGAAAGAGGCTGTCTTTGTGTGGACTCTACTTTCCACATATAATGAGTGATCAGTTTTCTCATTTCACTTAAAATAGGATGGAAAAAGTAGTATTTTTATAAACTTAATTTCTCATTATAAGCTTGAATTCTCTGAGTGCTCCAAAATCTCTGGTACTCCTGCCAGAATAGACTGATATTTATCAGAGTTGACTGATATTTAGTGCTCAGAGTAAAAATACTTTTGATTCCATGCTGAATACAGCCTATCCTATTTGGTGATTGTCTTCCTTCTTCATGATCAAAAGTAGATCTAGACCGTAGATTTCTGAAAACTTTAATGAAATAAAAAGACTTTATGCATAAACTGTTACCATTATTGTCAAATGCTTTTGCTTACGTTTCTCCTTTGCAAAGAACAAAATACTGCATTATGCACCCACACTCAACAGGCATCTAGCACGTACTCCATCAGCTCTCACACAAACGTCATCTGTCAAGATAAAGTTTTCTTGAATAATCCTATAAACAGAATTTCAAATCTGATTTGGATCTAACTGCTTCAATTAAATGAGGATCTATTGTTAGCTCCATTGCAGATCTACAGAATTAAAGCACAAAAAAATCTGAGACAGTTTAATCAGTTTAATGTTTGTATAGTTGTGGAGAGCTGGTAAAGAGAGAACTGGTCAAGAAGTCCAAGTAGGCTATGGAATTTAAAGTTCTTAAAATTAAAATTTGGGTATGATTTTCATAGGTATGCAGAGTATAAGCATACAGATAGATGAAGGGCCCCAAGTCAATACAGTCTCCAAAGCAGGATATTTGACATCTAAAAACAAATTTTCCTTTTGCTGCCAATACTTCTTCAAAAGAAAAGACACAGGAAAAGCAAAAATAATTCCGAATTCTTGTTTGTGTCCTTCACAAGTGCAGTAAACTCCTTACAGAGTGGATGCAATAAAAGGAAATGGTCATGTACAAGCCAGCTGCATTTATATTCTTTCCCTTCTGAAGTTCTTCTTACTATCTGTCACCTTGTCATTTCAGATTTTTTCTTACACAGCAGCACTAATTCACCATGTTAATTATATTTTTCTCTAAGAGATAAAAATCATCAACTCAATTATACATTTTCCTAGAAAAAAACTAACAAAATGTGGAAGCTAGGATAGGAACACAATTAACAAAATTACTATGCTTTTCGTGCCCGATGTAATGGAATGACAGCCTCAATGATTACAGTAGTTAATATCTGGCATACCAT